TATGATATCTGGGAGTGGGGAAGACTCAAGGCATTCCTTGTCAAAGAAGCAAGTACAGTTAAAATACTTGAGTTAATATGAACTATACTTGATGACGATGGAAGAGATGCACGAAAGCCTTTTGTAACCAACTGAAATACTTTCTACAGTATGTAAATAAAGAAGATTTTATGTGTCATGTTTGTTTTGAAAATTAAAAATAAAAAATTATTTTAAAAAAGAAGGAAGTACAGAAGCTGGTCTGCTGCCAATAATAAAAAATAGCTAAGATTTTGTCAATTGAATTTGTTTATTTATAGGCCGCCCTTTTCCCTGAGGGGACTCAGGGCGGCTTACAATCACAAAGGGAAAGGAAGTGTGGGACAATAACAAAAAAGAAATGTGCACATTTTGTCAACAAGAACTTCCAACCTATGATAGGAGATAAAATTGAAGAATCTTCTTAAGCTTTCTCTTGATAGACTTAAAAATTATAGGGTGAGTGTAATTATGAAACAGAGTCATCTGCTACACGTTAAAAAAAATACTATGATAGCTCTAAACAAAATATTAAAATGCAAAGAAATCTTACTGACAACACTGTGCTATGATTTTATTAATTACATATTAACTTCATATTTAGTTTTGAAAATTGGATCAGAAAATCTGAACAAAATGATGTGTTTGAACTGTGATGTGACAAAATAGTTGAAAATAACTTGAACAAGAAGAAAAACAAAAACCTCTGTACTAAATAAAAGAAAACAAGACAACTCAGGAAAAGAATTAATAACAAGACTAAAGGTAACTATTTTGTACATATAATGTTAAGTCAAGAGATATTGGAAAGGCAAATTCTTGAAATCTGTAGCCCTATTCGTTGCCCTAGGCCTAGCCATTAACCAATGTTAGTTTGGAAACAGGAATGCTTAAAGTTCTGGTATGAGTATGGATTTTGATGGCTAATTTTTGGCTGAAAATACAGATTTCCCAACAAACTTACCATCTCTCCCTCAAACTTAAAATTGCTGGTATAGCAGACAACTTGTCTCATAAGGGTTTATGAATAATTTCCCCTAACTAATGAGTTCCCCATGATTCTGTATCAGGAAACAATCTTTGCCAAGATTATGTAATCTTTAATGTTTGTTTTTTCCAAACATTATTACTCAATTGAGTGACCACTTAATGTACTGGGACTTCAACTTACCAAATTTCTTACTTCACTGGCTTGGAATCCTGGGAGGTGTAGTAGCATAATTTGAACATGGAAAAAGAAGTTTCCTGCACATGAAAGTTCACATTATCACAAATAATAGTAGATAATGTATCTCATGACTTTTTTTCTATGAATAGATTAGTTTATACTTACAGCTTTCCAGTTGCATTATACAGGTCTGGACATCCATTGGGAAATTTTTGAGATCCATTGGACAGGAAAGTATTAAAGTCAGCCTGAAAGAATGTAAAGCAAATGAAGCAAAAAGAATATTTTCTTCACATACATTTCCTTACGTCCTTCTACAACAAGGAGGAAGGTTGGCAAATCCAGTGCGTGTATAATTAATACAAAATAATAAACTACAATTAATTTAAATGATTAAATATTATAAAGTTGTCTTTTTATGAGACTCCAAATTATTAGAACTGATTTTAAAACAGGCACAGGAGTATTAAACCCTTATTCAAAATCAATGCAATCTACAACAGGTGTATTCTGCAATATCTTGTATGCTAATAAGCTATAACTTAAAACTCATATATGCAATGAAGTTATGGAACTTCTTTGAGTTGTGAGCCGCCCTCAGTCCCCTTAGGGAAAAGGGCGGCATACAAATGAAATAAAACTCAAACTCAAACTCAAACATTTAAGGAAAAGGCAGAATTTTAAAATATTGGATGTAGTTATAGCACAGGCTTTTGATAGAAACAAATTTATATGGCTTATAGCAGGAGCATGCAAATTGGCTTTGTAGGCATTTGGAAAGAAGGAACTCGTTAAAAATTGGGGGAAATTTGAGGTTAAAAATCCTACTAAGGCTTTTAGTAATGTTTATTTATAATTATTTATTCTCCCCCCCTTTTACTCCCTTCCCTAAAAAAAATCTGAATATTGTGGCTGTCCTTTGTATAGGTATTCTGGCAATATAAACGAAATGGTGAGGTACCCATGTGTGCTTCTGGTTTACAGCATGATAAGCCAGTGAAAGAAAAATGAACCATTCTACAAGAACAAGAGTATAGAAGTTATGACTTTTATTATCACAAGATATCCTATGCCTGACTTAATTTTACACTAAAAATTAATATATTTTATATTTAGCAAAGTT